GCAGTGTCCCGTGAGAGTAACTCTACCGCTGAGCTAACACTGATGTGAATGCATGTGGCGTTGTACATTATATTATTGAGGTGGATGCGCCAGAACTGCAGCTGATAGAATGTGCGCTGTAGCACAATACTACGATATTTCTTCAAAAGCAGATCGTGGAGACTTTTAATCGTCCACGATCAAAAATGGTCATATCGCACACCCATAACTACCAAGTACAATCAATCTCACACACACAAGCAAGCACAACGAAATCACTTCACACTATTAAGCGGCTGTGTTATGAACATGCAAAACTGTATCGCACGTGTGCTACAGTGGTAAATTTATTCATCGCACAGACCAGTTTTTTCGTAGCACGTGCGACATATATGTCGCACTGTACAGCCCTGTGTTGTATTGATTTCTTGTCTTAAGACGTTATCCCAATGTCCAGTGTATCTAACATACAAGCTTCCTGCAAATTGAAGCGATTAAACCGAAGGGTGTTAAGTAGATGTTAAGTAGTTAACTGTCCAAACAATAGTTAGATTTTTTCACTCCCAGTATTTGAAGTAGTGAAATATGTGCTCCGGAACCAAATGATGGAGCTAGTGTTTTCCACGGACAACGTACCTGATGTAAACATCCGGTGTCCACTACGTCAGAGACGCCAACATGGCGAGCAGGAGAAGTAATGCGAAGACCGGGGAACATTCTGACAAATATTCTGTTCTGCTGCCAACCTACAACGAGAGAGAAAACCTCCCATTGATTGTGTGGTTGCTGGCGAAGTACTTTGGCGAGAGGTAAGTGTGTTGTTATATACAGTTAATGGGCGAGAACCTTAATACAACCGACTGTTGAAGTCCTAATGATGAGCTGTCAGTTACATCAGACTAATGAGTCTCTAAGATGAACTTAAATATTTAGTTTTAAGAAGAGCGTTCTTACTCAAATGGCCATGTTTTAATGCAGTGGATACAACTACGAGATCATAGTGATTGATGATGGCAGTCCAGACGGAACGCTGCAGATCGCCGAGCAGCTGCAGAAGATCTACGGCGCTGACAAGATTGTGAGTTGTGCATTATAATAGACACATGACTGACAGCTTGTCGAAAGAAATCATGAAAATCTGGCATCTCTCTTCTTCTTAGCTCCTGAGACCGCGAGCAAAAAAACTGGGATTAGGTAAATTGGTTCACATTTCTTAATACTTCTTCGAGCTAAGTTATAGGAATAGCGTGACTGACGTTCATGTCATTCCAGGAACGGCTTACATCCACGGCATTAAACACGCGTCAGGAAACTTCGTTATCATTATGGATGCAGATCTCTCACATCATGTAAGTACTCTTCCATTGTATACTGTTTTGTACCTCCTTGAGTAAATACTGGTATTCATGTTTCCCACGACCCTGGAAATACTGAAAATAGTTGCATATACATTTATTGGATATAGAATACAAGTACAACAACATGCTAACAAGGCTTGCTGAGAATCATCATATTGAGAATCATTATTTTGAGTCGGTTCTTTTCAATGAATCTATGGAAGCTTATTTCTGCCACACAAGAAAAAAATCTTGTTTTGGTAAACTATAATTATGAGATTAAAAGTCATAATTATAACAGAGGAAAAAGAGAATGAGAGAAAAAAAAAAAGAGTCAAGATCAGATCAGTCATTATGAGATAAGTCAAAACTATGAGATACTAAGTCATATGACTTATGATTATGATAATTTAGATTTTCTAATTCCTTTTTATTTCATAATTATGTTTTAGCTTATGTTTAATTTATAATTGTCTTTTTATGTTTTATTTTATTATATATATATATATATATATATATATAGTCTGACATACTCCTTAGCGAATAGTAAGTTAATTTTAAGAACCACTGGAAATGTCATGAAAATCGATGTGTTAAAAAAAAGTGTTGGATAGCTTCAAGCATGTTTACTCACAGATTTTTTTAGGAATTTAATTTGATCCTGCTTTCACTAAATGAAACATTCAGGAGCATTTGTGTACATTAAGTGTTTTATTCTTCTCCCTCACAGCCAAAGTTTATCGCACAGTTCATTGAGTAAGTCATTTTCTTTCAATTGCCTTATGCCTCTGCTGTTAAAAGACATTTTATCTGCTCATTGTATTGTATTGTGTAGTGTAGTTTTGCTATAATAGCATTATCATGTGCACTTGTATAACAGCCACTTTTGTGATATTATTTTTTTTTGTTCAGAAAACAGAAAGAAGGTGGATATGACCTGGTGTCTGGAACAAGGTACAGAGGAGACGGTGGTGTATATGGATGGGATCTGCGCCGGAAACTGATCAGGTGTGTGACTGGAAGCTACATTTTATAATAATATCCAACTATATAGAAATATTAGAAATTTGAGACTGCATCTGTTACTGCCAAATGCATAGGTCAGGTATCATTTTTCATGTATAATTGATTTTATGGCACAAAATTACTTTTTTGTAATGATTGTTTCCTTTTAGTCGAGGTGCAAACTTTGTAACACAAGTGCTGCTCAGACCAGGAGCATCTGATCTCACGGGGAGTTTTAGGTAAGGGTATGTTAATAAATTAATCATTGTTTTGTTTTGTTTTTATACCATGGTTTTTATATTACAATATTGTATTATTGTCTCCTATCTTGTGTTCTACGTTTCAGGCTCTATAAGAAAGAGGTTCTTGAAAAATTAGTAGAGCAGTGTGTGTCAAAAGGCTATGTGTTCCAGATGGAGATGATTGTCCGTGCTAGACAACTGGGCTATACTGTTGGAGAGGTCAGCACGCATCTCTCATTCCACATTTCTTATAAATCTTGTTAATATTTTAATAAATAAAATTAGGGCTGGCAAGTGATTAAAATTTTTAATCTAATTAATTACATGATGTGGCGATTAAATTTGGCTGAGAAATTACTCCCAAAAGATCATTTAAAGTCATTGTTGTGTAAAGCATCAAACAGACATTACAAAAAGTAGCTTCAGCAAGAAATATTTTGTTTGATAAAATTGATTACATATACTCTTTTGGACCATGAGGGTGAGTAAATGATGACACAATTGTCATTTTTGGGTGGGTGAACTATACCTTTAATAATTTATTTTATTAATTGTATTATTATTACTAAGGAAATATGAAATTATTTATTTAACAAAATGATACTCTAAATAATAAACTAAAACTTCCAGTAGGTGGTGGTAAATGTCTTAATGATTAAGTCATCGAGTCATTTATTCATTCATTTGATTCGTTCAAATGGCTGATTCATTCAGGAGTGAAGTAAATGGTTCTTTATGAATGGTCCATTGAATCATTAGGCTTGTTCGACTTGAAGCGGATCATCACATCAAAGTATCGCGAGAGCTATAGAGAGAGTTATATTAATTAATCTAATTAACGCTTTAAATTACCAGCCCTAAATAAAATTTAGTTTAGATTAGGGCTGCATGATAAATCGCATGCGATATTTAACGCGCATCTTGTCAGAAAGCCGGTTCTGTAATCAGCGGTGAATTTCCATCACGTGCGTGCTTTCACATTGAGCAGCATTAACTACACAGAGCCGTTGTTCACAGACTAGCTGCGCAAAACCACGTTCATATTCGCGCGATTTTTTGCGCAGCTCGTCTGTGAACAACGGCTCTGTGTAGTTAATGCTGCTCCATGTGAAAGCCCGCAGGTGATGGTGATTTACTGCTGATTACAGAATGGCTTTACTGACCAGATGCGCGTTAAATATCGCATGCGATTTATCGTGCAGCCCTAGTTTAGATTATACATTTACATAATAAGACTGTGAATTGTATTGCTGTATTATACTGAACTTTATTTAATACATGCATTCATTTATAAATTCAAGTTAAGTATTTTTAAATCTATTTAATGTTTTTATGATTATCTGAAAGTGGTCTTGTCTGTCTATTACGCAGGTTCCTATTTCATTTGTGGACCGTGTTTATGGGGAGTCCAAATTGGGTGGAAATGAAATTGTCTCCTTCCTGAAAGGATTGCTCACTCTTTTTGCCACTACATGACATTTGACCTCATTTGGTTGTGTTTAGTTTTGTGATATATGGTCAGCACTTATCACTGCAGTCGAACTGGAATTCATGCTTTCCAAGTAACAAGTTCATTACAATTGTCCCATATCAGTTATTTGTCCCATATCAGGTTACAGTAGTGTTTGGATTGCTTGGATTTACCACTTTCCATCTTCCATTTAGTTTGGTTAATTACTAGACTATATGTTGAAATGTACATTAAAATGTTTTTAAAAATCTACATTTTAATAAAAAGGACCAAATTGACAGATTTTTTTTAATAACAAAAAACTCTTAAAAAATAAAGGGGGTTCCAAAGGGGGATTTCATAACCATAGCATAGAACCATTCTTGGTTCCCCAAAGAACCTTTAGTGAAGTTCTCAAAAAAAAATTCTTGTTTTTTTAGTGTGATGAACATTTTAATAATGTAAGGAACCTTTTTTCACTATAAAGAACCTTTCCTGCAATGGAAAGTAGTGCCATTTTAGGTAGAGGTAGTGCCTAAACACGCTAATGTATGTAAATTGACCTTTTTAACAGCCTGAGAACCATTTTTGGCTATAGAGATTTATGCTTTGCAATAAACATTTAATGTTGCAGATCATTTGGGTTATGCAATGTATTTGGACATTTTCATTTGGATGTGTGTTATTTATAAAATACTTTGGACTTGCATTAAAACTGATGAAGTTATATATGCACTTAATTTCACACATCAGTGTCAGAAGAAAACAACAGCCTACATCCTAAGAGCTACTGCCGTCAATCTCTTGAGTGTCTACCCTGTCTTGTTGGCATATCCAAAAGGAAATATTTTCTTCTCTCTCTGGGTGTTACGTCCCAACTGACACCCAAACTAGTGTAATGCAAGGAACTGCTTGGGCGAGTTAGATGCAGCCAACACCAAGGGGGGAATAACTCCAGAGCTCAAGGGCCAGAGGGTGGGGGAATCACCATAGCTCACAGTCTGCAACCCCAGCACTTCACATGCAGAAGTAGTCCCGGTGAGTTGCGCATGAGCGCGGTACAGCGCCACCACCCGATGCTGGCTGAGTACTGAGGCACTGTATACATCCGACTCTCTGCGGGGGTAGATACCAGATGCAGAATTGACGCATACGCCTCTATCCAATCAAGTTTCAGCCAATGGCGCCCCCTATGGGTTCATTCCATGTAACTGCACCCAGGGGCTGTTTACACCAATTTCGGAAGCATGTAATAAAACATTTTATGCGCGCACAGATACACTTGTGCATTCCAGGTAAGCTTACATGGGGGTAAATATTGGATTGGTGGTCGTCTGACACCTCTCACCACATAATCCCCCACCCACCGCCTCTCCGTCGGCACAATGCTTTTTTTATGCTAATCAAACGCACATGTCACTTCCGCCACTTTTCACACGCCATTTTGGATAGTATAGGTACTGGACCGGGTCGTATTGTTTAAGTGGATGGCGGATTACGTTAATTGCTGTCAATTACACCGTCATCGTGCGTCTTCTGGACTGTGCATCATCGCAAACGCAGCACTCGCTCGGCGGTTCGCGCTCCTTCTCCCTCCGGGACCCCCGTAGACCGGCACAGACTCTGCTAGATGAGTTGCAGCAGCTCATTCCCGGCAGACAGACAGCTCTGGGTCGGCCCGTGACAGGAGTCGAGCTCCCTCTTTCGGCGGTGTGTGTCCGCCTGGGAAGCGGAGGACGAGGCGCTCGGTTCGGGGTGCGGGAAAGTGACATTAAGCGCTGCAGCTAGCGGAGCGCGGGCCAGGTAACGTTCAACTCGCTCCCCGTTGTGCGTTTGGGGAACGAAACCGAATGAGTATTAACTAAGACACCTGCTAACTTATTAATAATAACTGGAGGAAATCTGAAAGGACTTAACCAGACTCTCAAGTGGCAAACCTAGCTAATTGTTTGTCATACAGTTGTTAAACAGTTCTCTCAGGTCGTGAATTAAAAATAAAGTTTTTATTGATGTGTTCTTACCGTTGAAAGTGTAACTGAGGGTTTTATCATTCACACAGACCCTAAATCCGACCACTCACTCCAGCCCGCGGTTATATCTCCGTTTGCTTTGACAAACGAACTCGTCACAAAAAGCTCGCGCTGCAACGAATCAATCGTTAAAGGGACAGTTCACCAAAGATAAAACCAATTATGTCATCGTTTATTCGCCCTCGCGTTGTTCTAAGCCTGTATGACTTTTTAATATAAGCTAAAGGAAATGTTAATCAGAATGACAGCCTCAGTCAGTTTTATTGTTTGGAAAAAAGATGCACTGAAAGTGAATGGTGACTGAGGCTGTCATTCTGTCTGACATCTTTTGTTTTTCACAGATAAAAGAAAGTCGTGTATGGAGAAGTATTAGGTTGAATAAGTGATTTTAGTCTTTTTTTTTTGTTTGGTTTTTTTTGTTTGTTATTGGTCAATTTAATTTACGAATCAGTGGAGCGCGTGCAGTTTTACTAATAAGGAACCAAAGTTGGCGCTTGTAGGATTTGATCGCGTTTGACATGTCAACAAACCAAACAGACCAATGTGTGACTGGTCTTGGTCACTAATTGGTCAGTTGTTTTCCTCGTCAGTGTGTTGTCATACTCGTGTACTTGCCTGCTCGATTTTGCTCTATATTTGTAATAATTGTTCTTTGAATGGCAAGTTTGATATTTACTTTAGTATTTACCGTCCTTTGTAGTAACGTTATAGATGTCATTCAGCACAATGCAGTGCTTGAATTTTACATTTTGACAGCTTATGTTTATCATGCTGTGTGTGTGTGTGTGTGTGTGTTTAATATATGCAATGTTATTTTCGCAACTGTAGCTGTGGTGTTGGGCCTTTGATGAAAAGATGATGCTGAATGTATTTACCAGCAGTATGTTTTTCTCATTCGCACAGGGTCCATGTTTTTTGGATATGGACGGCCATGAGGCAGTTAATTAAAATGTGACAGATATTTAAATTTTCTGTTTGCGTATGTATGCAAACCAAGTCATCTGTATGCTAGGAGATCATCAGATAACCTCCACCCAGAGCAGACACTGCAGATATGTCTTTCCACGCACTGGCCTCTGCTGCTGCCTCACCAGGAGGCGCCATTCCAGGGCTGTAATGCAGAAGCCTGCACAAAAAAGGGAGCGGAAAAAGGGCAGGCAGAACAGGGAGAGGCTTATATAACATGGAGGAAGAGCTGTCCTCTAGCGCCATCTAGAAAGGATGGGAGAAAGTCAGTGAGGCGACGAGGAACGCCTAACCAAAGAGAGAGAGCCCCTATTCAGTGCCGAAGTGAAACTACTGCTCTTTGTTCAAGCAGGGTGTACCGTATGATGCTTGTGTTTGGTGACGCCAAGAGCTGATGCAGGTTTTCCATGAAGGCCGCTCCGATAGGTACATGACCTTTGACCTTAGTTGAACTTTGACCTCATTTTTGCGGGCTGATGTGGGATCGGCCTAATTTAGCGTTGCAGTTGTACATGTTTGGCTCTTCATGTACAATATTCGTTAGAGCACAAATCTGCAATGCTGGTACTGTAGAATGTTGGCCACAGATTCATTGGATGCGTTTGTGTTTTTCGGTTGTGCAATCATATTTTGAAATGGTGCCATCCCATAGACATCATGTGCTGAAGCACTTGTACTTGGTGCTTGGAAAGATTTTGATTTTGCTTTGGTATTACATGTAAAATAGATTTAATATATATTCTATTGAGATGCAGAAAATTGTTAGAGTAAAGATGCACCAGAAGTGACAGTAGATTTCTGTTTCAAGTAAATGATGCTCTTTTGAACTTTGTTCATCAAAGAATCCTGAAAAATAAAGCATAAAATGAAGCATGGCTGTTTTTGGAATAATAATAATAATAATAATAATAATAATAATAATAAATGTTTTTAAAAAATCTTTAAAATGTTAATAATAAAAAAAAACTACCAAATTAGCATATTAAAATAATTTTTGAAGGATCATGTGACACTGAAGACGGGATTAATGGTGCTGAAATTCAGCTTTGGCATCACAGCAATAAATTAATTTTAAAACATATTAAAATAGAAAACAGTTATTTTTAAAATTACTGTTTTTACTGTATTTTCGATCACATAAATGCAGCTTTGGTGAGCATAAGAAACTTCCTTCTGAAACATTAAAAACATTTGTCAGACCCCAAACTTTTGAATGGTGGTTTATTTAAATTTAATTAAAGTGAATTATCTCATAATTAAGAAAAAAAAATTAATGCATTCAGTTCCTTTTTAACAAAACATGTAAGGTTGTGTCAGTTTGTTTGGATCAATTATAGACTACCACATATGCCTATACTTCAGACAGGTTGATTTCTTTAATCTTCACCTCATACATTGACTCTCCTTATTCTCATTGACATTCTCATTTGTAGAAGTACCTTTGATGATGATTGCATACCACCATACAAAGGCCGCAAATTAGTTTCCTGTTGTGAAACGACTATTTGGAATTTAATTCATAAATACATTTGTTGGTTGTGGCTTTTGATTTAGAAATAAAAGTTGGAAAACACTATTGTAAAATAAGAAAAGTGATATTGCATGGTGTCAAAGGTAAGTTGGCTTTTTGCTGTCTGTGTTTAGTATGCAGCTCATTTTCCCAGGCTGTGATGAGAAAGATGCTCTCTGACTCATTTGTTTTGCTTTAGACCTTTTCCTCTCCTAGTGACCGTTTCTCTGACATGAGCTTGTGTTTATGATTTAGATTAAGGTGCATTTAAACAGTCAAATTGATAGTGTCACAGTGAGATATATTTTAATATACTATTCATGTGTTATTCATGTTCTCTAAAGTCATTCAAACAATACAAAATGTGTATTATTCATTCATGATGGCAATAATGTGATGAATTTATTTTCAGGTGGCAGAATGTTTCAACTCCCAGTGAACAACCTCAGCAGTCTAAGGAAAGCTAGGAAGAATGTGAAAAACGTGCTGGGTGACATTGGCTTGGAGTTTTGCAGGGAGCACATTGGTGTAAGTAAATTTCTCTAATTAAAATGTCTCCATAGGCAATGAAGTACATGCTCACTATCATGGACCATCTGAGTCCCCTTAAGACAGCTCCAAATGGTTTAGTGTTTTTTATGTTACCATTAGCTCTGTAGCTGTAAAATCTGTGAAATCAGCTTGTTGATATGCTTTTACCATTCATCTTCTAACCTTGAGTCTCAACAGTATTTTTTTGCCAACACATATGATGCAGTTTCTTTAGATTATGAAGTAGGACCATGTGAACTTTTGGTGTTTGAGATTGCCAGAAATAAAGCCGCCTCCCTTGTTTTTGATAAATCCACTACTTTAGTTGCCTGACAAAATTACTACATCTGCCACAAGTTCCGTTTATTCCAATATTCTA